TGAACCATCAGAAAAAGAGAAAGAGGCTATCTGTGAAAGGAGGGAAGAGTTTGAACTTCTTCAAGATAAACAGAAAGAGGAAGAGAGACAAGACATACTTGAATGGGGCAAAAAAACAAGAGGAAAAATCGAGCAAATCACAAAGTATCGGGAAATCTCTGAGCCTGAGAGAGTTCCTTCCCCTGGTCTGATAAGCCCAACCGAGCCAGGAGTCCTTCGAGAGGCAGAATATGATCGAGAAGATAAGCAGGCCCTTTTGTTCAGGGAAGCAGGCTTGCCCGGCTCCATGAGCTACGAGAAGGTGGAGGTGGTGGAGTCCATCGAGAAGTTTTCAGATGACAGAATTCAGACGTACGAAGAGACAGCGATGATTGTGGAGACGATGATAGAGAAGACAAGCAAGAAGAAACCAGGTGACAAAGGCTCTTAAGTGACACCCCCCCCCTTGATAGTCAACTTGTCTGGCATAGTTATTAAATGACTGTTTTTTTCCTGACCGAATGATACAGTAGTGAGATTTTTGCTGTTTGGTATGGAACAGATTGATACCTTGATGGCGATTCTGTCTGATGTAGGCTCGCCTTTGGCGCAATGACCACGAGCGCGCTCCAGGGCAACAAGTAATAGGCACCTCCTATGCAATTGATTTTCATGATTAGGACAAGTTGAAAGTAATTATTATTACAGAGCTGCCTAGCTTTCCACAGTATCGGGGACAAATTGCATATTCCTCTACTGCTCCATACATAGCTGCCGTACGATTCCCCATCTCTTCAGACAGCTGCAATTGTTAACTTGTGACATCTGGTTCATTTAATAAAAGTTTGGCCTTCTACAGAAGATACCCACTGTGGGTTTGTTTTGCGTTTACCGTTGACCGATGGTCCCTACTAGTAAACGTCAACTGACGGGGTGTGCAGGAGGTTTTCCAGGGGAAGGGCTGGATACCTGGTCAATAACCTATTCCAAATCTCTCTCATTTACAGTCTTGAAATAGAGATGAGCTCGGCAGACCTCTCTTTTTGGATTTAAAGACAAACTCTCTGTATTTGAAATAAGCTCTTACTGCCTATCTTCTCAGAATAAAACTTGAAATAACCCTTATAAAAGATACTGAAGACATTATTCGTCCTTCACCAACACAACTAAGGCATTTACGAATGCCAACAAGCTTTTGAGCAGACTGCAGCCAACTCAGACGACTGTGTGTTTCGGTATTTTCTTGTTAGGTATTTTCTTGTTAAGTATTTCCTCGGACTGTAGCGTTTGACAGAGTTTAATACTGCCACGTGATCCTGCCGCAGCCCACGGCGCGCCACGGGGCTGCTGGAACACGCGGTGCCTTCCCATGGCCCCTTGCCTGGGGAAGCAAAAAGCAGCACTTCTGCAACAGCTTCTTGCAGCTTCTAGAAATCTTTGCCTCAGAGGAAAGGAAAAAAAAAACGAGAAAGAAAGGAAATCCTTCAGTTGTGTATATGCAAATACTGAGCACCATTTAAAGTGCTGGTGCATCATTGAGGCCTCAGCTTGACTTCAGGCATACAAATAATCCCACTAAAGCAAGGTATATAGTGAAGTGTCTTACTGGGCTGGACTCTGCATGTTCCTTCTCCCATCCCAGTTCTCAAAGGTTTCCTTTCAGCTTTTGGCGTTGTTATGCCTTTTGCTTTCGGGTTGATTGCGCGTCAGCTGTGAAGGCCGGGGCTAAGCGCCACTTGAGCTGACGAGCCTGAGCTTCAGGACTACATCACCTGAGACTTTCCTTCAATACTCTGTTGGTTGTTTTTTTTTTCATTAGTGAGTTCCAATGCATTTATAGCAGCTAATCTGACTATTATGTCTGATAAAGTGGCACCTTCTTCTTTGAAACAGGGACAGGTCACCCACCTATAGGCACGTTTTTATTTGGGTGGGTGGTGGTTTTTTTTGTCACTGCTGCTTTATTGAAATGCTGTGGGAGTATATGCCAGACATTTCTCGCTAGGATGTGTGCTGCTTTTCAGTTTAATTTATTAACACTGTAAATAACTGCAGAGAAGGAATTTATCAATGCGTGCGCAGGCTGCGCTCTGGTGAGCTGCTTAGAATAACTGCTGGTGAAAGCGGCTTTTTACTACTGCAAGGGGAAAGGGGGGAAAAAAACAAACCAAAACCACCAAACCCAACTGCAGCAAGAGGAAGGCTGTTTAATACTTCTGTCACAAAACAGGGTGTAAACAACAGCTTCAGGCAGTAGGAGCCAGAACTCGGTATTCCCCCAACCATCTGATTTCACTGCCATACAGAGCGCTTCAGGTTCAGAATAGAAATTCCTGAAGCAATGGCAAAGAGGTACCGCTGCAGGAGAGCCTCGGCCAGGCGGCTGGTGCGCGAGTAACCCCGCCACCTTCAGCTACCTTGTGCTGTGGTGTCGCCACTCTACGCTGCTGACATCGAAATGGCCTTTCTGATGCACGTAAGCCTTGCTGAGCAGTATAAATGCCACTCCTGAAGCGGGTTTAGTGGCACGTGGTACTGAAGAAGTCACGTACTGCATTGCATAGGCAGCGATGCCGAGGTGCAAGACTTGACCCAAGCTGCATCACAGGCACCACCAGCAGCAGAAGTCAAGGACCATGGGGAACTAAGGTCTAAAGTCCTCTACGAGCTCTGACCTGCCACAAGCATGGCGGTAAGGTTGCAGATGACAGGCATCTTTCTGTAAACTTGTATGAAAAATTATATAGAAGACCACTAGTATTCTATTGTTCATAATGACAGTGCTGAAAGGTAGCATAAATCTCATTATTTATGGGCTAACTGCTGCTTTAAATGCAGAGTCTCAAATGCAGTGTCTCAAACAAGTGTCTAAATGCTAATTGCAAAGAGTGTAATGGTGAACAGTTGCAAGCATTTATTCAGCAGAGCCTGGGATGAGACCTAGGTTACTACAGACGTATTCGCGCCTCTGTGGCAATCGGAACTAGATCAGGAGGTTCCCTGCCATCTTTTACTGCTGCAGACATGGTAAGAAATTATAAAATTACACGTACCCTGTGCTACAGGAACACGAGCTAAAAAGTACCCAGAAGTGCGGGTGGGAAGTAGGGAGGACAAGGAAATAGGGGGTTTTTTTTGTGGATCAGTGTGTTCCAAACAGCAGAGAAGAACACCTGCTGTTGTATTTCCTCGGGGCCAGAACTGCTTATGAAACACAGCGCTAAAATGTCCCTGTCTGTCTCCCTGAGCGGCCCCTGCCCCACTGCGGGCAGCAGTTCAGCACCCGCGCCGCTGCCCACCGCTGCCGAGCTGCCCTGGGAGCCTGCGGGTTCGGACCACGTAAGTAACGCCCACGGCTCTTCCCAGCCTGCGGCCTTCGCCTGCTACGTCCCACCGCATCACAGGGTTAACATAAAGCCTGATAGTCTTCATCTGGTGCTGTCAACGCTTTTGGAGGATCGTGTTTATTTTCTCAGTAGCCAGCATACATGGGATACAAATTTCCTTATATATGTATATAAAAAGCAGAGGCGTAAGAAGTCATCCCACTTGCAGCAGCAGGTTACCTCCCGTGTACCTTCGGATAGGCAATGATGATAGGACCTGCCAGTTTACAACAGCTCTTTATTTTACTCATATTATAAAACATCATCACAGGGCTTTAGTTAAACAGTGTTCACCTGTTTCAAATAATGAGCTTCATTTTCCCCTTTATTATAAATGCTAACAAATTAACTTTATTTTCCATCAGCAATACCATAAAAACTTAGTCTAACTGGACATATTTTTCAGTGATCCCCGATGCAAAAATCCTGAAGAATTTGAAGTAGATCTCTATATTGTATATACACTTAGTTTTATATATATACTTATATCAAAACTCACCATTTCTGTATATCACTCATTATCGTGATCTTTTACTTAATAAATTATGTCAGCATTATGAAAATATGAACAACCATCTAGTTACTTTGCTGCTTTATAAGATATTTAATGATTGAACAGAGAACTGCAAAATTACATGAATGCAATGGAAAGTCATGTACACGGTCATTTAGGATTTCCACATGGACTTTTCATATTCCAAAACTTTTTCCACATTTTAGAAGTAAGTCCTTCAGAAGCTTCCAGTTACCTCTTTCTTTAACACATACACACAAAAAGTAATGATGTGCGTATATGCATTATACATTACATACCATATGTAATTCTATATATATATTTATAAGCAAATATATGTAACATACTCTGAATATACATATCATATGTAATATATATACACAGAGAGAGAGATACCACAGGTGCATCATATGCATTTAGACATACAGGTGTATGCATAAATATATATATATATGGTAAATTCTTCCCTCTGATATGTATACACTGCTCTTTTCTGAGAACTGGGTGCCTTCCACAGCAATGTACTGCCGCCAGCGCGATCCATTCACTTCCAAAGACGCAAGCAAACCTGTTCCATTGAACTTCAGTGAGTTTTGGCTCATGCCTTCACACTTTGAAGTGGACCCCATCCTGTCCTTAGGTTAAGTTTTAAATCACCAAATTAAACATAGTTGGCACTATAATGTATTTGAACAAATAACTTCAAAAATAAAAATCACATGGGGCCTGATCCTTCTCCTGCCGACGCCTGTTTTATCCCAGCGTGACTCGGCTGTCCGAAGGGACTGCTGCACGCAGCGAGGAACCTGTGAGTAGTCTCCCCAGGCTGCTTGTCTTGGCTTTAGAGTGTAATTCACATAGACATTGAGTAGGTTGAGCTGTTTATTTTGCATTTGGATTTGCAAAGGAAAGAACAGGCCTTTTACCGAAACATAAAACGTGGATATTCACTAGAAATAACAGCATAGAGTATGCATTCTTAAGTGAAACGTGTGCACCATATAACCTTTGGGTTACGTTTTTAATTTGTTAGATAAATATTTACTTAATGTGTTTCTACTACTATGCACCTGATTAACCAGGACAACTTTTATTAAAACGTTTTAGATGAATACTCTGCATATTAAAAATACGTAATAAAATTCTGAAACTAGTCACCGCTAAAAAGTAGATCTTGGATCCTGCAAAGATCCAAAGCACCTCCTTAAAATTAGAATTTGAGTAGGTCCACTGATGGCCTTTACTGTGAGCGAGTGCCTAAATATTTGCAGAATCAAGACCCTTTATTATTCAAAGGTTAAATTTGGGATCTCACACCTGAGAACACGTAGTGGTTACTATCATGAGTAATCCCCACCGAGGAGAACGTTATGTCTCGCGGCAATAGCCAAAGCAGACTCTGAGGGCGAGAGAGACCGAACTTTACTCCGGTATGAAAAGTGAGGGTGGGACTGACTCTTTAAACGGCAAAGAGCAATGATAAGAACAAATCTTCCCAAACACACTACATTTTATTTCCCAAGAAGACCAACTTTGCATTACACATTAATAATTTAGGCATATTCTTCTCCTTAAATATATTTGTATAACATAAAAATAACAAATCTCTATTTTTAAAAATGAAATTTGAATAAAAAATTGCTTTGGGACTGAAACTGCGTACTTCAAATCTCTCCCACAGCAATTTACTGACAGCCCGGTTGTGAACCCCAGAAAACAGGGGTCTGCGGTTGGCAATGCTGACACGGCCTCACCTTACGCTGCTGTGGTGCACCTCGGTATAAAGACGAGCAGATGCACTCTTCTGCACACAGGTTGCCAGAAATCCTACAGCTCATTCCCTATGTGCTCATTCTGCTGTAAGATAGTAAATTAATTGAAAATGCCAAAATTTTTTAAAAAATAAGCCAACCCAAAACTGAAACTTGTGCTTCTAGAATGCCCTGACCCTGTTTGCAAAGCACTTCCCCCGTCACCCGGCTTTGGCATCACTTTACCTTCCTTATTGCGTGCCTGTTGAACCATCCTGTGGCTGAAGCATTAGCGTGTATGTTGTATAAGTGTATATATTAAAGAAAACTCTCAAAAGAATTGGATTTTGGCAAATAGGCTTGGTAAATTTTCTTCATCTCTAGATTCTTTCTTTTTGTAGGGTCTAGTGCTACTTTGGTTGAACCCAATGGGGAAAGTCCCACTGAAGTCAGTGATGCAAAAGGAGCTGTTAGACGTTCAAAGATCTCTCCAGCCAACCTCTCTGTGATTCCCTCTCTCACGGTAATTTTTAAAAATGTGCCCATTATCACCAACTGCCAATGTTAAAATTCACTCTTTTTTTTAATACAAACAACATTTACCACAAAAATATGAAGGGAAAAGCCATCGACTTGTTTGCAGGTTATTACCGATTTGTATGACACAAAAGAAAAATCATTTACAGTCACAAACTGTACATAGTATTTGGTGGGGGACAGTATATTTGCGGTTTAGAGTAAAAAAAGGATTGCTTCAGTGGTAATTAAAATAATTATTGACGAGATATAAGACTTTAAAATCAAGAAAGTGTGATAATTTGGCTACAGAGACGATCATTGTAATATGTCTAACACAGAGGTTTGGATAGTAGAAAGGTGAGTAGAGGGATCTGGGGAAGGAAAGACACCGTCATGCAGAACAGCACTAGTTCTTGCTCAGTATACTCTTCAGGCTTCTCTCCACTGCTTCATCTAATTCTTCTTCCAGCTCTTCCTTCTTGGACATGGCCAGTTTGGACTGATAATCTTTTACTATTTGGTCTATATACGGTGCACTCTGAGTCCCGTGCAGCATCAGCGTCCACTCCTTCAGGACGCCCCGCTGCGGCAGACTGCCGACAAACCCAATCTCTAGAGCCCAGGTGCCTCGGGGGTCTTCTCCCCAAGTGTGTGTGGTCATGAAGGGCCATTTGTCAAAACCCACCTTGGCGTCGTCATCCCTGGGACGCCGGCTCAGTAAAATGGACTTTGTTCCCATTGGCGAGGTCATGTTGATGTTGAGGTCTCCTCGCCTAGTGGAATTCACAGTTATAACTGCCTGGACGTGTTCAAGGTATCGGACAAAGTTTTCCTTCCCCTCACAAGCATCAGTTGTAAGCGTGAGGACCAGCTTGCCACTTGGTGGTATCTTTCTGCAGTTCAAAAGATAATTAAGCAAATTAAAAGGATACAGACAGCATGACATGGCTGATTCTAAAACTACTGGGTTTTGGTGTCTCTCAGAAAAACGCGCGCTATTTTCCTTATTAATACATGGAAAAGTAAGGAAATAGTAGTTGCAAACCTAGCCAGAAAGAGAACGTTCTCTTTTTAGAAGATGGTATCAAAACCTTAATTTGAAAATACATTATGAAATGTACACCTACACAAAGAGAAGGAATACAATTAAGAGGAACGTACTGCTATTTAAGAAATATTAACATATTTAATAGCTGCCTTTACTTATCGCTCCTATATTGGGTAATTGCATAATAATGTGTATATTCCGTAGAAGAACAGCGAGCAGTCAGTCATGTCAGACAGTTGCCTTAAAAGACGGCAGCGAACGGCTGCCTGGAGTCAGAGGAGCCAGCTGCACGGCATTTCAGCACAGCCACATTGAAGCCTACAACCTTGTTCTGATTCGGAAACCAGCACAAACATGGGATCCCAGTTTCAGCTCATTTGAAAAATATTTTTCCATTAAAATTGCTGTCCTTGAACTGCTCCCGTGCAGGAGCACACACACAGAGAGAAGAAGTTGCACTTGTTTACTGAGCTGCCAAAGTGCTGCACCTTGAAGTCAGAGTTTCTTGGCGATTATAATTCAGTCCCTATGAAGGCAAACTCAGAGTTAACTGAAGGACATTTGTCCCAAGTACTACCAGAAAGCTAGGCCTGCAGGTGGAGCAGAGCCCTGCGCAAGGTGCATCCACGCCTTCCCAGCTCTCGCAGAGGAGGCCGGGGGTCGCTGTGCGCTGGGTGGTCCTGCTGGGAATCCCAGCGCAGGCCCAAGGGCAGGCCCAAGGGCAGGGGTGCCTGGCCCAGGCTGCCTCAGGATGCCAGTGGCAATTACCAGTTGCCTCAGAAACTGGCTGGCAAACTACACTGGAAACGTCGACAAAAGTCTCTGCGTCTTCACCATCAGCAAGCTGTGAGCAGTGTGACGCTTTCCTCTGTCTAAAAGAAATACTTGAAAGACAAGAATTACTGCAATCATTAAAAAAGGGAAGAAGTCACAAAAGACTCCAGTCAGCTTGTCATTACCTCTTCCAGTGGATTCTCCGTGACCGAGGTTTTGCAGTAAAATAAGAGAGAGTCCCTTTTAAAGGGCATTGACCACACTGTGATAATTAATACCTTCTTTTCAAAACAAGTAAGTGCCAGCCTTTTCCCTTTGCTAATGAAATAGCGTGTTCTTCAGAGACCAGTGAAAGCATTTCATTCAAGCCGAGCTTCCAGGAATTCTCTTCTTCTTGAGATGAGCTCCAGGTATTACTGCTTAGTACCTCACTAATTGGCTGGGGCCAGCCTCTGCCCCCCTTTCATAGAGTACTGCCTTCTTAGGAGTACTTGCAGAGTAAAAAGACATCAGGTCCAGGTCCTCAAGGCATTTGAACACCTTCAGCTGAAAAACCTGCGTTGTTCTGAATCTTATGGACGCCCTGGAGCAGAAGCTGGTATAACATAAATATTCTATAGCTAAAATATTTAAACATATAATACCCTCAAGATTTATTTTGTGTGCCAAAATACAAGGAAAAGGCACTCTATGCCAGCTAGAGGTGAAGGATCATAGTCCCACAGTTGCCATATACCTGCAATTTCTCTGCATGGGAAGCATCGTCCTCAAAGCAACCTGAATTCATGTTGTCTCACAGCAGTCTCACACAGCGGACAAAGCTTTGTCAAACAGTGCTCTGTTCCAACAGCTGTGATAAGCGCCTTCTATCTCCTCCAGTAAATGAGGGAGGACCCCACAGTGTGAGTCTTTTCTATCTATCAACACCAAACCCCAAAGAAATAAGAGCAGTGTTACCACTCCATCTGCTTCGCAGACAGCCTGACAGCTGCAGACAGCTTTTCTCTCCACCTTCCTAAGTGCTGCAGTGCAAAAGTTATCTCAGCTCTCTAAAACACATGAGAAAAGGCTTGCTCTGTTTCCCCCTTTCCTATTAATTAGGATCCAACACTCTCTGCTTTGCTAAACTAATTACAATAGTCCAGGTGAATTTCCCCAGAGAAACAAAAAGAACCAGGGGTGGTGGAAAAAGCCTGACACGAAAGGAACCGAAGAGGAGATGGGTTTGCCACAGCCTCACAGTGTACCGCTGCCTAATCGAGATATATATATATATATAAAAAAAATATTCACTTTTGCATGAAGTATAGTACCCAGTTAAGAGATGAGCAGGGGGAGCTAACTGCTCTCTAGAAGCAGACTCCTATGCTCCTGTTCCTCAGCTAATGGACTAGGATTGTCCTAAATCATCTTTGTATCGCCCTGGAACAGCCAGCTTCAGACTTGAATTTTTTATTTTTTGCTGACCCAACAAAAATCCCGCTTCAGGGAAAGTTCCTATTGGTAACAAGTGTTTATACATACAGCAGAGAAATGCGGCACTTTAAATACTGATTGCTTTCAGCACACTGTATATTCAAGGCTGTCAATTCTTTCCTGGCCTGTTTCTGCTAATGGACAATGCTCCACACTTCTCTATCGACTACTTACATATTCAATATATATTTAGGTAGGTATTTTGTATCTACAAAAATTTGTATCTATGTAAACATATAGAGAATATATATAGAAGATGTTGCTCCAGCAAGGCCAAACTGGAAAAATAACCCAATTATCCATGGCAGAAGTGCAGCGTAGTTTCCATTTCCAAGGAATCTCTGGAGATGCTGGGACTTCACTCGTTTTATTTACAGTGTAATTCAAAAAATGTAGATGTTGCAAGTCGTGATTCTTACTATCTCCTGTCAGTGTTTCATTTGGGGACATAAATATTACAGCAGTACTATTAACTCGTGTCAGGTAATTATAGGGGGACACCCATACAGCCTGCACACTGAGACTCCCTGCAGCAGGGCTAGGAGGCTTAGGTCGTGACTGACTTGGCTGAAATAACTTGGCTGCTGTTGTACGCTTTTCACATCTCCTCTTTACAAATCTGTGTGCTGTAAGCACAAAGCCTGTGCTGGGCGCTGCTCTCAAAAGACACCAATACAAGGCAATGTATTTCTCAAGTCTCGAGCCTGTTGGGTAACGACAGCTGTAAGGAGGCTTTACTGCAGTTCCAGATCCCTGGAGCGGAGGAAATGCACCATCACCTCTGCTTTTCTATCCGTTCAGCAGCAGAAACGGGACAGAAAAACAAAGGCAGAAGGAGACAATGCTACTGCATCGCACTTGGCCAACTCTGGCTCAGTCTGTTGCCAGAATACTTCTACCGCATTGTCTAACACATGGAGCCAAGCCTACAGAAAGAAATTTTCTCTCTTCCTCTAGGATGATCCCCATTTCAATAAATGGGGCTGCAGTAAGATAAACGAGATGATTTGTCTGCATTTAAATTATGAATAAACTAGAGATAGCTCAAAATTAGCTTCAGCACTCTCATTTGTTTCCTACCTGTGAGCATGCGTCAGCCAGATAAATTAAAACTCAGATTTCAGCTGAGAACTTTGGATCCTGCAAATATGAACCCATCTGGAGCTTGGCAACAAACTTACGCTTTGCCTGGCTGAGCTACGTGTGAGGGTGGCATATTGGTTTGCTTTCTTTTTCCAATAGAATAATGATGCCTTCAAAAATGGCACTGAAAAGTCAAATTTCAAATGGTATAGACATAAATTGGCCATTATTAGATTAGTATTTCAAGTAATTGAATTGAACTATAGCTGTTGCAGTCAATTAGTATTAATTCATTCACTTGTTGACTCATTCACTTTAGCACATGAAGGTAAATCAGAAAATAATTTGATTACCTAGCCTGCAATTAGAGATTTGAAGAACATAAACCAAACACAATTAAACGCTGTAGTGTTCAAACTGAATCACTGGTACCTGTAGATGATTGTTTCAGTCTTCTGGAGATAAAACTGTCTGCTGGAATATGTCACAGGGAGATACGACCTGGCTGACAGATATTTCATGCGGCAGCAGTTCATGTAATTTATAGTGCCAGCCTCCCAGACTTTCGCTTGTGCACAGGCTCTTTATTCACAGAAACTTTAGCACAAACATACCTGTAAGTACTCAGGAGAAACAGATGTTGCTATTAGGACTACTGGCACTAGCAATGATGATACACCTGAGCTGTAGAATGCGCTCCTCCAGCGAACCAGGAACTGAAAGATCATGTCGTTTATCAACTTATTGAAATAGCTGCAATGCTACTGGTGATGTTAGGCTTTCTTAGAAAAAAAATTCCATTATGTTTCTCTGATTATCTATGTCTTTGTCAACATATTTGCATGCTTGTGGTCTCCTAATGCCTGGAAGAAGCCAAACACATATACCAGACTATTCACTTACTCAGGTTCCTGTATTGACCCTCCAACACAATGGAATCTCTCGGGAACAGTCTTCCAGTCTTTCGCCATCTTAACCATTGCTCCTGCATCTAGGACACCATAGCCAAACAAATGGTTGAATTCCAGCCCGACGCCGTTTCTACGCCATTGATGAACCTCATCGTGAAGCTGGTTCCTCTTGGAGGTGAGCACTGTCAGATGCTGCATGTCTCTCCATGTCAGATCTGAGCTGTGGAAGAGCAACATGGAAAACAAACAGTACAGTATTTCCAAGCATATATTAAAGAAAGACAGTGTGTTTGAGTAAGCCTTTTGGTAAAATTTGCTTCTATGAATCACACAGAAATTTTATCTATACACATTTCAATAAAAAAGCTTCTATTGATTTCAGTGGGAACAAGAATAGGTTTCAATTGTATGGTACTTCCCCAAAATATATTCCCAAAATTGCAAAATCATTTCTGATTGTTTCCCTGTTCTTGAAAACAACTGCTTTTCACTACACATTATGGATCCACCGTGCAATTTTTAAGCTGATATAATGAGTAGGATATTGTACCAGATCCTGAAAAGAATACAAAAAGAAAAGGATGATGACAGAATTTCGCCTAGCCGTCCTCTTAAATCTTGCCCTCTTTTCCTTGCCTGCTCCTCCTGCTTTTCCCATGGACCTTCCGAGATTCACCCACAGAAGCCCCAATCTGAGGAAGCTGATGAACTGTATCAATCAAGGTGTTCGTCATTTCAGTATTCTGTGAATACGGGTATATGGGCTGTGGGTGGCTGTGGGTTTGCATTATAAGGAATGGTAGGGGTTTGTCACCCGTGATATACTAGCACGGGTGGATGCAGTCAAGTAACATTTGTCTAGATTTGGTTATAATTTTTCATCATCGTCTCTTCCTAGATCTGCAGTGATTACGATGACAGGAAGGGCACTTATAAGTTATTATTCTCGTGCCGCTTGCGTAGGCACTGCAGAGAAATGGGCACTTGTCATAGAATCATAAATAGTTTGGGTTGGAAGGGATCTTTAAAGGTCGTCTAGTCCAACCCCCCCTGCAATGAGCAGGGACATCTACAACCAGATCAGGTTGCTCAGGGCCCCGTCCAGGCTGACCTTGAATATTTCCAGGGATGAGGCATCTACCACCTCTCTGGGCAACCCCTTCCAGTGTTTCACCACCCTCATTGTAAAAAATTTCTTCCTTATATCTAGTCTAGATCTACCCTCTTTTCATTTAAAACCATTACCCTTTGTCCTATCGCAACAGGCCCTGCTAAAAAAGTTTGTCCCCATCTATCTTATAAGCCTCCTTTAAGTACTGAAAGGCCGCAATAAGGTCTCCCCACAGCCTTCTCTTCTCCAGGCTGAATAATCCCAACTCTCTCAGCCTTTCCTCATAGGAGAGGTGTTCCAGCCCTCAGATCGTTTTTGTGGCCTCCTCTGGACCTGCTCCAACAGGTCCAAGTCCTTCCTATGCTGAGGACCCCAGAGCTGGACGCAGGGCTCCAGGGGGGTCTCACCAGAGCGGAGTAGAGGGGCAGAATCACCCCCCTCGACCTGCTGGCCACTCTTCTTTTGATGCAGCCCAGGATACGGTTGGCTTTCTGGGCTGCGAGACCACACTGCCAGCTCACGTCCAGCTTTTCATCCACCAGTACCCCCACGTCCTTCTCCGCAGGGCTCCTCTCAATCCCTTCATCCCCCAGCCTGTAGTGATACCGGGGATTGCCCCGACCCAGGTGCAGGACCTTGCACTTGGCCTTGTTGAACCTCATGAGGTTCACACAGGCCCATTTCTCCAGCTTGTCCAGGTCCCTCTGGATGGCATCCTGTCCCTCAGGCGTGTCAGCTACACCACTCAGCTTGGTGTCATCTGCAAACTCGCTGAGGGTGCATTCGATCCCACTATCTGTCATTGATGAAGATATTAAACAGTACTGGTCCCAGTATGGACCCCTGAGGGACACCACTCATCACTGGTCTCCATCTGGACATCGAGCCACTGACCACTACCCCTCTGGATGCAACCAACTCAACCAATTCCTCATCCACCGAACAGTCTACCCATAAAGTCCGTATCTCTCCAATTTGGAGAGAAGGATGTTGTGGGGAACCGTGTCAAAGGCCTTACGGAAGTCCAGATGGATGACATCCATAGCTCTTCCCTTGTCCACTGATGCAGTCACTCCATCATGGAAGGCCACTAGGTTGGTCAGGCAGGACTTGCCCTTGGTGAAGCCATGCTGGCTGTCTCAAATCACCTCCCTGTCCTCCATGTGCCTTAGCATAGCTTCTAGGAGGATCTGTTCCATACTCTTCTCAGGCACAGAGGTGAGGCTGACAGGTCGGTAGTTCCCAGGGTCCTCCTTTCTACCGTTTTTAAAAATGGATGCAACCTTTCCTTTTTTCCAGTCACCAGGGACTTCACCTGACTGCCACGACTTTTCAAATATCACGGAGAGTGGCTTGGCAACTACATCAGCTAATTCCCTCAGGACTCTGGGATGCATCTCATCAGGTACCATAGACTTATGTCTTCTGAAAGCTTTAGAACTGACATTCTAATTCTACATAACTAAAGCTATTCCAGTTGTTTTATGATGAACTCTTTCAACATTACAATATGTCTGATTCAAACCATCAACCTAAAAAGATCTGCTTTTCAGCTTTCTGTGCCCCAAGTAATAAGCATGTGTGCATGCTGAATGTACACCAGAATAGCAAATTACTGACATTTTTCCAAGGTGACACAAAATAGCTGAAAACCAGATATCACTTGCATCATTCTTATTGAAACCTTTTAAGAGCTGCTACATATCTTAAAACCGTACTTTCCATTTCACAGATTGGTCTGTTTTTAGAGACATGTCAGACAGATATTGCATATGAGCTGAAAGACGTATAACAGGCAGCAGTCATCTGCACGGGAAATTGTTAGCCATTCCTGTGAAGGCTAGTGTAACTCCTCCAGGGTAGTTCTGCACACTAAAATGGAGGCTTAATAGAGCCAGCCTGGAAGGAAATAGGAGACACAGTTCTTTCTATCTTCCTGCCCCCGCCCTTCTTCTCAGCAAAGGCTAGAAACCCAATTGCAAACTATTATTAGTTTAATTTCTACTCATGATAGTTTGGCAAGAGATTCCAGCCTTCATGGATAGCCCAGATGAAGAGGAGTGGTAATTACTGCTGAGATATTAAGGTTGTAGTCCAAGTTACAGTGGTCAGAAAATTCATTAAACCTTTGTATTTTTAGGGCTATAATTAATTATTACATCATGGCTGTCCTACGGAATGAATTTGATAGTAGAAGGATTGATCATCTAAAGTTAAACACTTGGCATGTGTGTTTTACACGTGTAAAACCTGAAAAATGAGACTTGGCCCAAGTCATGCTCTGAGCACAACCATCATTGCTCTGCTAATGATAGAAACTTTGTCTCCTCTGCCAAATCTTCATTCTTCTGCATACTGTGGAAGAAAACTATGTACATAGCGCTCACTTCATGCCGTGGTTACAGCAACTGAAGCTGTACACCTGAGCAAATGTTGTCTCACTTCGTAAAATAATTTAACACAAAGTAAAAAGATGGTATAGGTTATTGTAAGGAAAACTTTTCCTAATCATTAGAGAAGAAGATAATGAAGCAAGATATACAGAGCAATTATGTAGCACAGAAGCAAATTACCAGTAATGGGTTAAGAAAAAACAAAGGAAATATTCCTCACCACCATCGCCAAAAACTATTATTACTGTGGAACTGATTGCCACTGGATGATACAGGTGCCAAATACAGACAAGTTGAAAAAGAGTTAAAACAAATTCAAGGAAGATAAATCTGCCTGCGGCTATTGAACAGGACAGGCTGACTGCTCTCTCTCCAAACCACTGATTGCCAAAGCTGTTGTTGAAAGATTGCTCTTCATCCCCATTTGTTGTACTCTCCCCTAAGCATCTGTCATTGCAGACAGTATGTGGCACAAGATGAACTCCTGTCTGATACCGTAGGTTCGTTCTTATGTTTTTGTAGGCTGGGCATTCCCCACTGGATATGTGAAGAAATGAAATAATCTTTCCCTCCAAACAGTGCTGGAGAAGACAAACCCCTGGAAGCAATGGATGGAGAGGACACAGAGAGCGAGTCAGCCAAAATGTATCTGTTACATGGCTTTGGCAAGACTGTCGCTCCATCACCGCTGCAGCAGGCAGCTTGTTAGCTGCTCATTCTAGCCCTGTGCCACAGCCAGCCAGCTTGTATGATGAACAACATTAAACAAACGGCAGGCCCTCTCCCTAGAGCTCACAAGGAATTTCTCAACAGCATACTTAGCCTCCAGGGCCAAGGCGAACACTCCGGCTGCTTCAGGGGCAGCTGCAGACGTTCCTGAGTGACGCAGGGTGCAGTTGCCATATAAATCTGTTGTAGCCTGCAATGATATTAGACATAATTAATGAAACTAGCTAGTCCATTTTCCTTGCAGCTACAGACTCAGAAAAATACAGAAAATGGAGTTCGTGCCCTTGCTCTTCAGAGTACCTGTGTGCTTGTTCCTAGGATCCATTTTCTTCTTTAGAATAGTGTATCAATTTAAAACCACAGTGAGACATAGTTACAGAAGGTGGGAATGCAAGAATAAATTATGATGTAGGAAAACAATGGTCATTACCACTTAGAAGTCATAAACTCATATGGATGTCATTTATTTCATACACAGTCTAACCAAAGGCCTTAAAATTCCTTTGTGGTTATCAGAAGGATTTGAAACCAGAATTGTTAGCAGAGTTAAGCTTTTTAACATTTGTGCAACTCCAGAACCAACAGCGGTATCAAGCTGCTATCTTCTATGCAGATTAGTCCCTAAAAGAGACCAGAAGGAAACCTTAGAAGTATATTTTATGGTGATAATTACAAAGGTGCCACAGATCATCTTGGCTGATATCAGTATCAAGATAGAAACCAGTATTTTTCCATCTGCTACTGCACAGGGGCATTGAGGATGCTACAATGTGTCTTTGGGTTTGAGACAGGGCCAAGGAAAACATACACAGGCTTTTGGCAAAGACTTACCTTGAGTTATTACACCTGAATTTTCCACTCTGTGAATTAGACTATGTCCTGGCTAGTCTGAAGGTGCTGAAGAGCAGTGATCAGTACAGGGGAAGAGAATCCCAGTTACACTTGAACAGAAACTGCATATTTCCCAGTTGTAGGCACAGCCCTGTCAGGGACTTGAGTACGATGTTCCACACTGCTTGGTATGAGACTGAGGGTGATCCGAACCCCCACGTTTCCTCTGCAGTGACTGAATGTCTTTCTGCTCTGGGCAGCTTCTAGTACTGCAGAAGTCTGGCTCATGACTGCTCTGCCAGTACAAGTAAGCATGATCTCAGATGTTGACACTTTTCATTTACATTTTTACTTGCAATTGAACTTCTAAATCTGGTTTCTGATAAAAGAAACCACCAACTACATGAAGCTCTAAGAGATGGAAGATCATTGCTTTTCTCAATATTAATCCCACATCTCCTCAGCTGACAGTTTTGGCACGATCGCCTACTGCAGATAAGAAAATATCCATCTCAACAAAGGACCATCTGCTGCTCCAAAGCAGATGGAGTTGTAATAGGTCGTGGGAGTGCACGAAGACAGCAGCAACAGGACAATAATATCTGGACTCACCACGCCAGCCTCCGGATTTCTCTTCCTCCCGTTACTAAAGGTGGAGGCTAAGGTTGAAGAGCAGCTTTCATCATACAGAGCTGTCCGTCCATCATTTATAGCAGAATTGATGGAGATTGTCCACATGCTCGATGCATAACCGTCACAGTTACAGTCATCATAGCTGCCACCATCTCCAGAGGCCCAGACATAGATGCTTCCTTTGCCGCCTCGGCCCTGTGAAAGGGGAAAATTGATCCTCTTGGGTTAAATTGCAAATAGGAGATAGCAGCTACTTTAAACTGCACATCTAATTGTAAAGCTAGGCATCTATAAAGGAGAATACTGGTCCAAACAAAATCTAAATCAAACTTAAGCTGAAATAACACGGACTTTTGCAAGTTATTAAATCTGGTTAACCGGCAGCCACAGCCAGTTCTGCAACCTTACGTACACAGAGCACTTCCATTTATCTCCTGTTTTGCTTGACGCCCTGAAGGCTCCTGTGCCAGATGCTATGACGTTTTATGGATTCATTAGCGTTTATGTCGAGGTCTAAGTGCTATGAGGAAAGTGTGCTTTTAAAAGGGATATGGGGCATCTCACACGCTGGGTTTCTAAGATCCAATTAGGGTCAGGCAATGGCTAAAAAACTGTAAAGCTGGCACCTTTTTCTCTCAATAGATTTTTCTCCAAAGGTATCACTGACTCAGAGCTGTTTTTCTGACAAACCAGCTTCTACTACTAAGCAGAAAATAAAGTTATGGGACCATATGAATCACCTACAGAAAGATGGTCTACCAATTACACAGAGAAGGCGAGAGATGGATGGGAGAGACTGAAGTCGAAGGGCAGCTATAAGGCCTTCCCATTAGTTAAAGGAAAGAAATTCATATCCTCTCCCCAACTTCCAGCTAGGCAAGGAGTGGGAAGGGATCAACTCAGCTCCTTCTCCTCATCCCATACTAAGAGAGGTAGGTCCTGACACTCAGGGAAAGATCCGTGCTACTGAACCCAAAGCTCAGATCTCCCACTGGTTCCAGCCCAGCCACCATTTCTCTCTGCATTTAATCTAATGCAATCCAATGGTTACTTGCAACAGCAACAAAGGGCACAAGGCCTCAATTTAAACATACTGTTCATGTGCATTGGGCAGAAGGTAGGAAAAAAATCTCTTCTGGCCTCTTCATTGTCCAGCATGAAATGGAAGCTAAAGAACATACAAACATAGCAACCTGCAATGGTATTTCAATAGGGAACCTTTTCTGCCAGGAATTTAAATCAAATCTGAGCTCCCAGCAGTAGCTTCTATTTTCATCATACCCCACTGAACAGAGCAACCTCATTATTTCAAGCACGTTAGTGAGTTGCATTATAATCCACTGAATTGCACAGCAGGTTTGCTGCCACTGGGGTACATAACATCTCAGGACATAGATTTTCATAATAAAGATGATGACTATGAAAAAGCTTATTGAAATCGGTCTAAGAACTCCCATAAAGATCTGAGATCAAGCATTTGAGTTTTAAAGGAGGAGGATACTGTTGCAAAAATATATACTCTAAGAAGAAATTAATTCCAGCAAATTATTTAAAAAAATAAAAAAGTTCAGCATAACAAGGACAGTTATGCCTTTTTTCCCTTTGACTTTTTCCGCTGCAGGGCCCAACCCTGGGCTTTGGACTCACTTCAGAAGCTACATCCCAAGCTTGCCATCATGCCCACGTATGCCATCACACCACCTTGCCACCATCTGCCTCCTTTGGACAGCCTCGGCGGCAGCTCGAGCACATCTCTCTCTGTCCCAAAAAGGCAGGCTGCTGCCCAACGCAGAGAGCAGGTGGCTGCGGGTGCCAGGAATAGGATGTTTGGCATGTACGGGCCCGTTCTTAAACAACCTTTTCCTCCCAGCCATTTTAAAGGGAGAGGAAACACTTCATTTTCATGTGATAAATTCACAAAAGTAGCTTGGTGCCTGGAAGTTAGCGTCTGCAGTGTTCAGCATGGGGAAGCAGACTTAGCCCTGCTCGGCAAATTGTTCCATGCTGCCAAAACCGGGTATTGCTGTGCAGCATTTCACCCCACGAGTGGGATTTGCAGCAGAACGGCAGCAAATGGGCATAACAGATTGCTGGTGGGGAGCAGGGGGAATCCACAGAGGAACCGAAATTTGGACTCAAGTTCATGGGTGGAATTAGCCTGCTTGAGTGCTGCTGGGGACGGGTTTTCTGCATGTAATTACTGTAAGGTGAGAATGGCCTCAGGATATCACTTCTATAAGCATCACATCCACAAGTATGGCTTAGTTAAAAACCATAATTCACCTCTTAACACTCTGATTTCAATTGCCTTTCCGTTTTAGCCAGGAGTGGAAAGAGGAGCAAACACTACTGGAATAAACTGATAGCAGCTCATGGCATTATTTGCAACGATGCTTAGGACTTGTTTCGTACATTTCCCACAGCCAGACCTGCAGTAGCTGGATAGTTTGCACAGGCAAAGTCTTTGGTGGCTGTCCTCACGCATCGTTTCATTTACCAGACAGAATGTATGGCTTCAGGGGAAGTGAATTTTCAATTCTCTGGATGGTAGTAGTCTAAGCCAGAAAAATCTAAGTTGGGTCAACTAAGTGTCACATTTAAACCCAGCTGAAAACTCCTATGTGCATCTCGACCTTATACAAACCTCGAAAAATTCAGTGATGTCACTCAACTTAGGCTGCTGTAAATTCAGGCCAAAAACAGGACTGGAGGTGGTGGTAGTAATACACACTACAAACACCAGAGGGAGCCTGAAGGAAGATTCAGGGAAAAAAGAGAAGACCAGCAAGATAATAAGATACATTTTAAAGAGGATCTTTCCTCCAGAATCCTGTTGAAACCTGCTCATTTCCCCCAAAAGCGATGCCCAGCGAGGCACCCACACTTCTGAGCCATCTGAAGCTGTGTCTCACTCAGAGCTGAAAATGGATCTCTGTGCATTTAGTACTAGCCCAAGAGAGGCCCACCTCCCAATTCAGAGAGAACCAGAATTAAATTTGGGCAAGGCTATATGCTTAGAAAGTCACAGACAGCTACTGAGAAGCTCTCGTTGCAGAAACAGGAGATTTTCTATTTCCAGTGTCCTTTGTGGGATGTTGTGCTACCATCAAAAAATATCCCTGAGAAATTTTCTTACCCCTTTTCTCATCTTCTAAAGAGGATAATCCCAAAAAAACTTCTTTACTGAACTACCTTGCAAAAGTGAGTTGGCAGGGGACTGCAGCCCAATTCACTTTACGTAACTTCAGGCACATCTTGAACTTTTTTTTTCCTTGTTACTGTGTTCATTCATCATGCTTGCTGGGCTAGTACCTAAGCCAGCGTTTCTTGAAGTTTTGATTGTTGGATCACACTATCCAGATGAAAATTGACAAATAAATCTCCTCCAGCTTCCCTGACCTTTCCCATCAAGGCTGGCAAGTACCTGTGTGAATAACAGATGGGCCTCTAACATGGCACAGCCTCTACCTTGGCTCCTCTAGTTCACCCACTCCTGCCTGGCCATCGGGCTTGCTAAAGAGGGATGAAAGGAATGTAAAAGTCTTTACAGCACGTTTCTGATGCCCTTTGGCTTTGGCCTAATCCTTCAGTCGTAGATGAGGACTAACAGTTTCCAAACAGTACAAGCTTAAAAAAAAGGATGGACTCCTGCCCTGAAAAGCCAAGTACCAGGGAAGGACAGCATCGGGACACCAGCAGGCAGATGGGCTCAGGATAAGAAGAAAAAAAAGCAGCACCTGACTGTGAGGAGGTGGGGTTTTTTAGGTGCAGTGAAAAGGTATTTCAGGATAAGGACAGCCAAATGGTTTGCTGATGCTTATGGACTGTCCCATGTCTAAGGAAGAAAACGCAGATGGAGCACATTTGAAAAAAATATGACCAATTACAGAACTGGAAATTGCTTTCTGTAACAAATTCAAAGCATGTATTATTTTATAAGCACCTTTCTTTTTGCGTGACATATGATAGCTATTTTGTAATTCTTCCCCTTAAGAAAACAGAAGTGTTTCAGCACCTTCTATATAATTTAATAGCAATTTATGTGCCTGCTACGGTAAGAGATAGGTTGGTTTTCCAGGGAAAGCGAAAAATTCCACAGATTTTTCAAGTCTTTGCCATGGGTCCTACAGACTTATGAATAGGACTCAGTTTCCATCCCCTGTTAATTTCAACTGTATTTTCCTCTGAAAAGAGCATTTCTTTCTCCTCAGGACTGAATTATTTGAAAATCCTTACGTGTTTTGTAATTAAAATCTGTATCCTTCAGTAACGATTGCTAATTATCTCAGAAAGTATAGTCTGCAGCCCAGGCTGGCAAAGTGAAATTGCCATCATGCCCCCAGGCTGGGGCACGCCAAGGCAAGGATGGACTGTGGGACCACTGGCCCACTGTCGTGACTTGGCGGGGGGCACTGGGCTGGGCTCTCAAGACGTCCAGGAGCCTACGCAGAGACCTTGCTCTGCCTTGGTCTCCCCACCACTCCTGAGCACGAGCAGCCTGGCTATGCGGCGTAAGCCAGCTGGAGGCAGCGAGTCCTTGGCATCGCTGAACCGCTGCTCATCTTTTGCACTGCCAGGGTTTTCAGAAGCCTGCTCGCGTGTTCCTGCACAGCTGACGTGGTGCAGCTGGACAGGCCCAGAACCGCTGCTCATCTTTTGCACTGCCAGGGTTTTCAGAAGCCTGCTCGCGTGTTCCTGCACAGCTGACGTGGTGCCAGCTGGACAGCCCATTGAGCCCTCGCTCGCCTGGCTCCTCCAGCTACCTCTGCATCTGCCAGGCTGATTTGCCCAGAGCAATCTGGTAGCCTGTGACTTCCTGGATCCCTTTGCTCCTTTCCTATACCGACTTCTTGGGGAGTGCCAAAATCTGAAGCAAAATCTCGGCAGAAACACATGCCTGACAGCCAGCCAAGTAATCTCAGTTTAACCACACTGACACCAAAGTTTTAAGCAGGAAACATATTCGGATTTCCAAAGTTTGCCACTGCACACATTCAGGGGCGCAGCTCTCTTGTTTGAGCTGAATGCCTTAGCACTTCTCCCATGTCCAGCCCCTTCCGAAAGCCTGGAGCTGCTGTACTGTGCCCCTGGAAAAGCCCGAGATGTCTGGCCTGCCCAGCACACCCACAAGTCACAGCAGCTGGGTTATCCTACTCAAATTCAACGCTGCTGAAGGTGGTGTCCCTCCACTGTTG